TCGGGCAATAAGATTGAATTGAGAAAGAAATTCTCGTAGCGGAACACTTCCGTCGTAAGTATCCGGTTTTAATTTTAAACCCAACCCTCTACAAGATCTTTCGCGCGCATCCCCCGACCTATTCTCGTTTGTACAACCGAAACACGTTACGCACGCTCTTTCATTCTCCGCACGAGAAGAAATATTATTGGAAAGACTTATCTGTGCTCTCAATCGCTCAAGCTCGACGTCGCGTTCCGTCTCCCTGCGCGCTTGCTCCTCTGCAGCTGACGGATCTCGCGCATCACTGATAGCAACGTCGCCTCTTCCTCCGTCTCCGGAGAAGCGTTCCTCGTTCTTTTTCTGGTGGTTGCCATCGCTGTCCTTTTATTCAATCCGTTCGTCGGTTCTATCTGCTCGTCCGTTCGATCCGCTCGATCGTTCTATCCGTTCGTCCGTTCGATCCCGGACAAGCCCCCAAAATGTTACGCTCGCGCTCACTGTTCCACTCGCGCCTGCGGCAAAGACGGTGATACTCGCGAGCTCGCGCGGAAAAAAACAACACACTTGTTTATAAAAAAACTACAACGGTTTATTGAACTCTTAATACACTCAAGCGTATCTCAAACTCGCGTCAATCTCAGAGTCCCGCCAAACAACTCGTTGCTAAGGGAGCAACCCTCTCTTGTCCGCTTCCGCGGACGATTTCAGTCGGCGCAACTTATGCTCGGCCGACACCGCGAAGCGTAACAATACATTATGTGTTAAATTATTTCATTCCTTCTCTCTCTTCGTTAAATTACATCGCACGTGAGAATCATGCAATGGGTGGGACAGTGATACCGCGGGAGAAAGAGAGAAAGAAAATTGCAACGGGGCCCGCGGACGCTGTGGCGCTGTACCCCCTTTCGCGATCCCGCGTCTAGTTATACATACGTGTTATCATGGTATTACCGCTGTATGGAGATGCCAATGTTAATATGTTGTGGTAAGTATAACATGTATCTAACTGCTTTGTCCTTACAACATTATCGTGACATGGAGATGTAGCAATTTTACTATGTAGTTGTAAGTATAACATGTATGTGCATGCAGATTGAGATGTAGAAGTAATTATAATGTGTCTGAATGCTGGCGCATTTGATTTTTATCTTTCTTGGGTATGAAAATCTCTGGCTACATGTTGAGTTTTAGTGTCAAGCCATCATGCATTGACTAGAGGATCAACAGTGTATACCACCGCTGGCAAAACTTTTACGCGATTGTGAGAATGGTTCCAATACAGTATTGCGCGATCACAACAAAATCGGGAACAATATATTTTGCTTTGTGCACATGACGTGTAAATCAACTTGCTTATGTAGAACAAAAATTTGAGAGTGCCAAATGCTGGATTATGAGGACAGAAACGACGCGTGGCTGGCGGACCTACCCCGGAGGGTGCAGGCGGAGGAGCGCCGAACAATCCTGGTAAGTACAAAGAGCTTGACTATTCGTCTGGAAAGAGAAACAACGTTCTTTTCTTTCAGAGCTACATTGTCAATAGTGATGACGACGACGACGACGACGACGGCGACGATGACAGCAACGCGAGGACGCCTCCGCGGGTGGAGGCGAACCCGCAGGTGGAGGCGCCGTGGGCGAGCCCGCGCGAGGAGCCGCTGCGCGTCATCCTTGATGTTGCGGGAGGAGGACGGTTGCTTATGACAATTAACGTGAGTATTTGTAGCTATCCTCATTTCTTCTTCTCTTTGGCATATTTTAAAATACTCTCCCCTTTTGTCTACTGCAGATAGCAACGGATAAGTGAATTTACCTCACAATAGATCACATCAGATAAATTTGCTAAATAAATATTTTTTACATTATCTGAATTTTAAAATAAACATTTTTTTATTAATAAAAGAAGTAAAAAAGGGCCAACGAGCCAAAGCTTGAGTGTTATATCGCTCCAATATGTATTTATTAATTTAACAAATTCATTATTTGAATAACAAACGTTTCGACCCCGAACGAGTCATTTTCAATGTTACAATAAATTAATTCGTGCCTAACATAAAATTAAAGAACATAACAAAACTTGAAGATCGGAAGAGCACACG